GAATCCCTCCTTGCACACTAGAAAGATGCAAAGACAAACACTTCCAAATATCCAGACAGATCATCCCACAGTTGTAACTTTCATCATACTTCTCAAAGCAGTGTGGTGAGGTCAGCTCACAAACAGCTTAAGCAGCAAAACTAGAAATCGGTGGTAGTAGTATCAGGCTACATAACAGCCTCTCCAAAGACTATGAAGTAAGAGAACGAAAATGTGCTGGCACCATCCCAAAAGACGGACAGATACTGCTTTGAGCGATGGAGTTCAGAGCTTACAGTCGAGAGCAATTCCTCTTCCTGACCCTGCAGCTTGACTCTGCGTACTTTAACCCCAAAATAGCCAGTCACCCAGAAGTTAGTTAACACTACCAACCTTCTCTCTAAATATAAGCTGAAGAGCATGTGGGTTTACAAAGATCTGATTAGATACAAGCATACTCTGAAAGGGAAAATCTGCCTTCCATCTATGTGAAGATGAGGAAAGTCAGACACAATTATACTGAAATTATGCTGTATAGAATACCCTTTGTTACCCAAGAATTGTGCCTACAGCATAATTCTGAAGGTTTGGTGATTTCTTTATTGTCAGTTTTGACACTTTGAAACTCTACCTGGCATTGAAAATTAGTTAGCTTTCTCAAAAGAAGTAATCCTAGCATATTAATCAAGGCAAATCATACAATTTTATTAAGAAACAATTCCTTTGACTTTAGTCATATTTGCTTTGTTTATTTGTCTGTTTTCAGACAGTATCACTATGTAATCAGGCTAACCCAGATTGGACAGAAAACTCAACAATCCTCCTGCTCAGCCTCCCAAGTACTGGGATTGAAGACATTCACTACCACACATGGCTTTATATATTATTTTATAATTTCAACTTGACAAAGTCATATATTAAAATAGTATTATAAACTCTAACTCTTGAACCTCTGACACTAACTATAGCTTTTCTCTAAAGAACCAAGAAGCTAGGCATAGCAGTGCAGGCCTGTAATCCTAGCATTTAGGAGGTAGGGGCAAAGGATCAGGAGTTCAAGGTCACCCTCACTACACAGAGTTTAAGGCCAACCTGGGTTATCTGAGACCCTATGTTAAATAAACAAAAAAGAACCCCCAAAATGCAATTATCTTAGGCTAGAAAATAATCACATTAAATTCAAATCAGCATCTATTTACTTGTATTTTGTGCCAACATTATTCTGAGAATGGAGGAACCAAAGGTAATATATATACATGGTCATAAGAGAGTCGATCTTGTTGGGGAAATCAATGACATGCTCGATGTGCTCTACTGAGAGCCAGAACAAAAGCCTTGGCATTACTGAAGAATGGGTAAATCCATAAGTTTCAAAGACATCACAAGATTTGAGCTGTATCTTGAGCTCATTTCACAAAGAAAGAAGAATGTTGAAGGCCAAAAACAGAATAAGCAAGTGTTTTCCAAAAAAAGGACAAAAATATGACATATGTTTTCAAAAACACACAAAACAAAACATGTAACAGGGGTAGTAAAAATGCCTGGGGCATGTGCTAGTGCCCCCCTACCCTCACCCCATGACAGACATCACCAATCAATCAGAGCATACTTAAAAACCTCAAGAAGTCTCAAAATCCTTCTAAACATGTAACATAAAAAGCAGGACCATGAGATGAAATGTCTAGAACTAGAGAGTAGTAGGACTTGGGCTAGATGGGCCAATTCAAAGCAGGCTAACAATTTTAGATTTTCTCCTACAGTGACAGAGGATAAACAAAAGGTTCTGTGAGGAATAATCGATTCTGTCACTGTGAGGAATGTATGTCAGCAGACAGGAAAAAGGACAAGTGAATAATACTCTAGAATTAGTTCTACCCATAATCTCACTCTTGGGAGGTAAGGGCAGGTGATAAGAGTTCAAGATTATCTTTGCTAAAACAATAAATTCAGGCTAGCCTGGGCTACAGGAGACCCTATCTCAAAAAAAGGGGAAAAAAAGGCTGAGAATATAGATCAGTGATACAGCACCTGTCTAGCAGGTCTGAGGTCCCCAGTTCAATAGTCCTCACTCCAAAAAAAAAAACAACAGGAAAACAGCAATTGTGGTCAAAAGAAAAGTAGGGAAATCTATGGCTGGCTCTAAAACAAAAGCAGAGTTTTGGATTTTAAAATCATTTCAAGGGGCTCAGTGATTAAAAGCACCAGCTACTCTTCCAGAGGACCCGGGTTCAATTCCTAGCATCCACATGGCAGCTCACACCTGTCTGTAATTCCAGTTCCAGGGCATCTAACACCCTTACACAGACATATATACAAAACAAATACCAATCCACATAAATTTAAAAAATTTTTTTTTCAAAATGAAAATTGGATAAACTCATGTAATCATAATCCTCTAATAGAACTAAAATAAGGAAGGTAAAGACTAGAATTAAAGAAATGAATTACTCAAGACCATAATTTCAGAAGTAGGTATTCCAGGGTTAGCATCAAGAGAGAAAACATCCTCATGACCAGACTGGCACTCAGCAAGTCTCTCCTGCCCTGAGGCACCAATACTCTAGCAAAACAGCAGATGTTGTTACCTCCCATGCCCCACGATGCAGGGCAGACTCAGACTATGTGAAGTGCAGAACTCGAAGAAGCTCTTTTTTAAAACCAAGGCTCGCCGGGCGGTGGTGGCGCACGCCTTTAATCCCAGCACTCGGGAGGCAGAGGCGGGCGGATCTCTGTGAGTTCGAGGCTGGGCTGGACTGACAGCCTCCAAAACAATACAGAGAAACCCTGTCTTGTAAAAAAACCAAAAAATAAAAAAATAAAAATAAAACCAAGGCTCACCAAAAACTCTGGCATTGGTGGCACACGCCTTTAATCCCGGCACTCAGGAGGCAGAGGCAGCAGGATCTCTGTGAGTTCAAAGCCAGCTCTGGTCTACAGAGCGAGTTCCAGGACAGGCTTCAAAGCAATACAGAGAAACCCTGTCTCGAAAAACAAAAACAAACAAACTAAAAAACTAAAAAAAGAAACAGTTTATATGAAATAACACCATTCTATCATTAACTACTTATATGTAAGTGTTAAACTCTATTATTTTTTTGCACAAACTACAACTATAGAATTTTGGACAGAATGAATGAAAAAAAGTAACTACTACCACTTAAGCAGAATGTGCAGTAAATGACATTATTCTACTTAGATATAAAAACTTCAGGGTTGGGGATGCAGCTTAGAGGTTGAAGACCTGTCTGATATGCTCAAAGCCCTAGTTTTGATTTGTAGAATCAAACAAAAAACAATTAAGATTTTAATATTTTTTTAAATTGAAAACATTAATTTCAATGCAGCACATCAGTAATCTAGCTTGGAAGATACAAGATCAGAAGCTAGCAGGAAGTTAGTCTAGGCTATGTGAGACTCTGTCTCAAGAAACAACAAATACTGGGCATGGAGGTACATGTATAATTCCAGGACGAAAGAGGCAGGGGTGTGTGGTTCCCTGTGAGTTCAAGGCCAGTTTGGTGTACACAGTGAGTTCCAGGCCGGTCAGGACTCCATAACTCCACAGAGAGACTATTAAAAAAAATGTTTCCCTTTGGCTATTACAAACAAAGGCTAAAGTAATAATGTGAAGCCCAAGGATATTAATAGGCTAGTATTACTGTTTTAAGACCTAAGGATACTCAAATTGCGGGATAAAATTACCCTCCAGTGAATGCCAACAATGCATTTCACACTACATAGACACACAATCAAGGGTTCTACTTGGCTCTCATTCTGTGCCATACTGTTAACCTCACGGATTTGGAGCCAGTACTGAACACCTGTAATCTCAGCACTTGGTGATGTGGAGGTGGGAGGATCAGTTCAGTCACCCTCCACTACACAATTAGTTTAAGGGCAGACTGAGCAAGAGTGAGACTTTCTCAAAAACAAAAACAAACAAAACCTCATAAAAGAGATTCTCACTCTCTTAAAATAAGACAAAATGAAAAATATGAACATGAGAGAAAATGTATGCATTCATCTGAGAAAGCAAATCCAACATTTATCATCACTTCTCTCTTAGCAGAAAGAATGAATTAGTCATGGGAAGAGCCACCTTGTCATGATGTCATTCTAAAGTCATTACAGAATTTTACACATGCTATGCTTGCTTCCAGTCAATCACACAGAAGTCATCCTGAGACTGAGGTCAAATTCCATTCTAAAGATCTCCACACTTAAAGTAAAGGTCCGCAAGAACATAATATCCAAAGGCCAAACACAGATACCCCTCCTCCCCACTTTAAAAGAAATCAGTTCTTCCCTACTTTAGCTAACTGTAATGGAATGTGACCCATAAACAAGGGCTTTCCCATTCTTCATTTTCTCAGAAAATATAAAGCAGATTTAATCTTTCTCATAAGGAGAATATATTTTGATAGAAAAAAATTGTAACACGGTGGTAGTTACATTAATAAGCTTTTCCCTCCTCATTAGCCCACTCACCTTGTCAACAGTGCTTTTCCTTTCTCAGTAAACTGTCTCTATTTCCACTCATTAAAAAAATGTTTTAAATAATAGTTGATAATTAGTACAAAGGGTAAATTAGTGGACACCTGCACTCACTTGCACAGATCAACACACAGACACGTCGTACATACATAATTAACAAAAATAATTCTTTAAAGGGGAGAGGCTGGATTGATGACTCAGCACTTAAGAGTTCTAGCTGTTCTTGCAGAAGACCAGGTTCAGTACCCAGCACCCACATCAGGAGACTACAAACCCCCACAACTTCAGTTCCTAGGAAATCTGATGCCTCCATGGGTTTGAGGGGCAGAAGCAGGCTGATCTCTGTGAGTCTGAGGCCAGCCTGGTCTACAGAGTGAGATCCAGGATGGTCAGGAATATACAGAGAAACCCTGTCTCGAAAAGACCAAAAAAGAAAAAGAAAGCTTTTGTAAATTTTAAAATAGATAATTCCACCATTTAATTTACACGAAGGCTCTCACAAGAAAACACAGCTGTATTTTACTTACATTCTTCCTACACCTTCATACATGTTAGTCTCATCCACCAGTGTCATGATCTCTGTATCTGTAAGGTGTGCATGCTTTTTCGTTCTGTTTAGCTGTTCAATCTGTATGTCTGCGAGTTTCACCTTCTGTTGAGTATCAATAACTTTGGCTTGAAGCTCTGTGAAGGCCTAAGAAAAAACAAGTCTGTGATTTAGAAAGGAAACATTTAAGTCAAATCCTTTTTTTTTTTTTTTTTTTTTTTTTTTTTGGTTTTTCGAGACAGGGTTTCTTCTGTGGCTTTGGAGGCTGTCCTGGAACTAGCTCTTGTAGACCAGGCTGGCCTCGAACTCACAGAGATCCGCCTGCCTCTGCCTCCCAAGTGCTGGGATTAAAGGCGTGCACCACCAATGCCCGGCTCAAATCCATATTTATTAAAACAGAATATACTAACCAAAGCTGTGAAATTTACTAAAATAAGCATAAATGAGAGTCAATAGAATTCTAATACTATGCTAAATTCTAAATGTACCCTGCTCATAGACAATGTGATCAATATGAACAAGCAAAAGTCTATTAAATAACAATCATATTTTAAATAACCAAAGATTAATAAAGGGAGTAAACAAAATACTCAGGGGATAAAGCTCAGAGATCAAAACAAGAATTATTCAAAGCACTTCACATTATTTCAAAAATCCTGGCTGGAGACCCAGACCTGGTGTCTCATGCCTGTAATACTAACAACTTGATGGCAGAAACAGAGGATGGAGTAAGTAGCTCAGGACTCAACACACAAGATACTCAAGGCCAGTCTGAGCTATAAGACACCTTGTCAGAAAAAGAATTTTTTTAGGGTCAGTGATATTGGCTCAGCAGATAAAGGCACTTGACATCAAGCCTGATGACCTAAATTTGATCCCTGAGAGCTACAGAGTAAGAGAGAACTGACTCCAAATTGTCCCCTGACCTCAACATATGCGCTCTCTCTCTCTCTCTCTCTCTCTCTCTCTCTCTCTCTCACACACACACACACACACACACACACACACACACAAATTCTTAAGAAAAAAACTAAGACAGACAGACAGAGGTCCATGAGATGGATCAGCAGGTAAAGCGTCTTATAACCAAGCCTAACCTGAGGATACATCCCTAGAACCTGAACCCACATGATAAAAGGAGAAAACCAGTCCACCAAAACTATATTCTGACTTCTACATACTCTGACCACACATTAGCATCATAACATGTGTGTGCCCACCCTCACACACATCTGATATTTACTTGCCAGGGATAGAGGAGCACACTCTTAATCCCAGAATTAAAGGGGAAGAGGCCGAGGACCTCATGTAATTTCAAGACCAGCCTGGGCTACAGCCAATCAGAGCTAAAAAAAAAAGGGGGGGGGGCTGAGATTTATAGCATGAATGAAAGAATGCTGTGTAAGATTAAGACTACATGTTTCAAGTAAAGAATGGCAAAGAGCAGTTGAGTGGTGGTGGTGCACGACTTTAGTGCCAGCATTTAGGAGGCAGAGGCAGGCAGATCTCTGTGAGTTCAAGGCCAGCCTGGTCTACAAAGCTACACAGAAAAACCCTATCCCAGAAAAAAAAAAAAAAAAAAAAGGATGGCAAAGAGCAAGATGCACATACTTAGCATCCCTGGAACAATAACAAATGGCTTCTTTTATTAGCAACAACAGCTATTTCAGCTGTCCTATTGCTTAGGCAAAGGTTAACCAAAGGAAGCTACTTAAGATGTTACTGGGAGCTAGAGAAATATTCAGTCAGAAGTCCTAAGGTTCACACCACAGGACCCACAAACGAAGTTGAGCTTAGGAGCTGGAGGGATGGCTCAGAGGTTAAGAGCAGAAGACCCAGGTTTGGTTCACAGTACCCACAGAGCAGCTCACAACCACTTGTAACTACAGTTTGGGGGGGACCAAGGCCCTTTTCTAGCCTGAGGGGGGCTGTACATACATGCTATTCAGTCACGCAGGCAAAACACCCACATACATAAAAATACAACTTGTTGTTTCATGCTAGGCATGGAGGCAGAGGAAAAAAAGAGGATCCTTTAACTTCACTGGCTAGACAATCAAGCCAAAGTGGCAATCCCTAGGTCCCAGTGAGTGGCCTTATCTCAAAAAACAAGATGAACAGTCACTGCCTTGAATTCAGGAAGCCCTAAGAGCAATTCCTGGCACTGGGTGTAGTGGTGCATGCCAGCTACATAGCCAAGTTCCAGGCCAGCCCAGGCTACATGAGACCCTGTCTCTGAGGGAAAAACAAAACGAAATCAGAGTCTGGGCCATTGAGATGGCTCATCTTGCCTAGAAGCCTGATGACCAGAGTTCATCAATCCCCAGGGCCCACTTGAACCAACTCCCAAAAGTTGTTCCCTGACCACCCTTGAGCAATTTGCAGATGTGTCTACACACACACATAAAAATACACAACTTTTTAAAATAAGTTGCTCACCTACAGAACCTACTGATACCAAATGTTTTTATAATACCAAATTCTATTTATTATTATGTGTTTGAGTGTCCTGGAGTGTTGAGTCTGAGACATTATAGAATAACGCTGAGCAGTTCTGTCCTTATACCATGGGTTCCAAGATCAAAACTTAAATAATCAGGCTTTCTGGCAAGTGCTTTCACCCACTGACCCATTTTGCTGCCTGGGGCTCAATCTTATAAGACTTTTCTTGCCAGTGACCCTAACAAACATCTGTTATCCTAATACCCAGGAGATAGAGACACTAAAGAGCATTAGGGGTTCAGGGTCTGATCAAACAAAACAAAACAAATAAACCACACAGGAAAAAACACTAGAAGTTTACTTTTCTAGAAAAGTAGATTTAGCCTGGCGGTGGTGGCACACACCTTTAATCCCAACACTCAGGAGGCAGAGGCAGGCGAATTTCTGTGAGTTGGAGACCAGCCTGTTCTACAAGAGCTAGTTCCAGGTCAGGCTCCAAAGCTACACAGAGAAATCCTGCCTCAAAAAAAAAACAAAAAAAGAAAAAAATAAAGAAAAGTAGATTTAAACTGAATGAATTATAGGGTGCTTTCTAACTATAGGCAACTCTCCACAAAGAAAGCACAGTCTAAGGTCTTAGTATTGTTAGGGTCCTAAGACTTTGAAGTGGCAAAATGTTTCCAATTAACAACCAGCTTTATAAACTGGCATTTGACTCAACTGTAATTCCAGCTGGACAGTGGTGTCACACTCCTTTAATCTCAGCATTCAGAAAGCAGAGGCAGGAGGATCTCTGAGTTCAAGGTCCAGCCTGGTATACAGAGTGAGTTCCAGGACAGCTAGGACTGTTTCACAGAAAAAAAAAAAAAAAAAAAAAACCTGTCTCGAAAAACAAAAACGATTGTAATTCCAGAACTCAAGAGGCTAAGGCAGGAAGACTGCCTGGAGTTCAAAGCCAGCTTAGCTACACAGCTAAATCCCAAACTAATCTAGGACACACTGAGATACCGTCTCTAAAAACCAAAGCAAAATAACAACAAAAACCATTTATAAGAAACGGATTGAACAAAAAGAAAAATCCAATTCCTCTGACCACTCATTCGGAAAACCTTACTGGACGGGGGAGGGGGCGCAGCGGGGGCAAATGCTTTAAAAATAAGATGGGCAGGGAGCATTAAGGCCTTGACGTGAACATTGATGTAACAGTGTCTGGTTTTCTGATGTATAGAAACAAGGACCTTTCAAGGAGTGGTACAGAATAAATGACCTAAAAGCAAAGGTTGAACTTGGAGTTTTTCACATCAAACGAGGAAACCGAATTACAGTTAGTGCCTCGGCTCCAGAGAGCACTATGAAGGGCATCCGTGTGAGACGCTGTCTTCGGGTCTTGCTTTGAAAGTGGGTCCCTGATGGCTCCAAAATGCAGAGAGAGGACTCGAGTGCAGGTCACGAGAACATACTGCGGCCCCGGCACCCCACTCACCCACCCACCCACCCTGAGCAGCTCTTGCCACCGGGAGCCCCCGGGGACCCCTGCCACGCCGAAGCAGCGCAGGTCCCGTCTCAGGACTCCAGGAAGCCAGCCCCCGCGCCCTACAGTCTCTTTCCTTCGGCGAGACTCGAGTCAACCTCTTATTCTTGCCCCCACTCGCTTCATCTTTCAAACAGAAGGTTCAGTCTGTTCAAAAGGCCCCGTTACCTTCTTCAACTCCAGATCCACGGGGGCCGCCATATTGGAGCACTCTACGCGCCTGCGTTAGAAGCAAGCCGGAAGGGGTGGGGGAGGGGCCCTTTCAGGTTTAATTGCGAGGCTTCGTTTTCTGCGCTTGCGCATAAATCAAACTCTAACACAGATTTCTCACTCTGTATATCTAATTCACTCCACCACTCTGGCATGAGACAAATGACCCTAAACATTGGAAATTCCGATAAAATGTGATAAACGTGTAACTGCTCAGGTGTAGCTCTTATCTTCCACACACAATTAAACAAACGTCTTTGGGCTGCGGAATTGAAACAGGTGTTATGGGTCAGCTCACAGCCAGCAACCATTCAGTCCTTCAGTTAATCCCCGTGCTGTCAGAGATGTATAAAGCCCCAGTTACCCGCAAGTCAGTAAGACCATTGGAAGATGTGATTGGAATATTCACCCAGAAAGATCTTAATTCTGCTACAGCCTCCTCAAAGATCTTCTAAGCACAGTGCTTTTCGGAACAAGCCACATATGGTTGCTGAACTCAAATTTCTGAGTTCAATTGGCAGAGTATTTGCCTAGCGCACGTGAAGCTCTGGGATTTGTTCCACAGCACGGCAATACATAGGTGGGATGGTGCATGCCTGTGCACCAAACGCTAGATAAGCGGAGGCAGAAGTCCAAGGTCAGATCAGCAAGATGGCCCAGGGAATAAAGGTACCTGCCCACAAATCTAACTACGTGAGTTCAATCTCAAGAACCCAAGCGGTGCGGAAACTGACTCCCACAAGGTATCCTCTGACTTCTATATTTGTGCCCCAACACAGGCTTATGCACACAAACACAATAAATAAATGCACATTTTAAATTACAATTAGGAACTGGAGGAATGGGTCAGCAGTTAAAGAGCATGCACTCCTGTTCCAGAGGATCAAAGTTTGACTCTCAGCACCTGTGTCAGAAGGCTCACAATGAGCTGTATCTCCAGCTCCAGGGGAATCCAACACCTCTAGCCTCTGCAGGCACCTGTGCTTATATACTCACACACACACACACACACACACACACACACACACACACACACACATACACACACACACATGCATGTACACATGAACACATAATGAGAAGTAATAAGAATATGGGGCTGGAGAGATGGCTCCCTGGTTAAGGGCAGTGGTTGCTCTTCCAGAGGACCAGGGTTCAATTCCCAGCACCCACATGGCAGCTCTCAACTGCCTGTAGTTCCAGTTTCAGGGGATCTGACACCCTTACACAGTCATACAGGCTAACCGCCAATGTATGTAAAATAAGTAAATCGTTTAAAAAATAATAAATCTTTTTAAAAATTAAAGTTCAAGTTTTCCTCAGCAGCTAGAGAGTTGGGGGTCAGCTTGGGCTACATGAGATCTGTCTCAAAAACAAAAACTGAAAAACTAAAAAATAATAGATGAGGATCAAGCATGTTAGCCTATGCCTGTGATCCCAGCACTAGGGAAACTGAGGCAGAAGCATCACCATGAATTTAAGGGCAATCTTGAAGTTAGAGTTTCTGTTCCACCTGGTCCCTCAGCTAATTAGCCCCAAATAAACACACAGAGACATATTAATTATTAAACTGTTGGCTCGGGCTTCTTACTGGCTATCCCTCTCTTAATTATTAACCAGTAGCTACTAATCTATATATTTCTACATGGCCTTATCTTACCGGAGAAGGCTCCAGCATGTTATTCCTTCAGCGATGACATGGCGTCCCTGGCAGCCTCTCTCTGCCTCCTCTCCCCAGTCTTCTCCTCATCTGGTAGCCCCACCTATACTTCCTGCCTGGCTACTGGTCAATCAGTGTTTTATTCACCAACCAATAAGAGAAACACATATACAGAAGGACATCTCCCATCACAGTCTATTCATAATTCCAGGTCAGTGTAGGCTATTTATACCATTCCAAGAAAGAGAGAGGGGCAGGGTACCAACTGGGATCTTATACAGAAATACATTCTGTCTTTGGTTCTGTCGTTCTCTCATTCCTACTTGGCACACTGTATATTTTTTTAATATAAGGACTTGTGTAATCCTAGAGACTGCACAGCCAGTGTCTGTCTAGAAGTATGTTGAAGCATCCATGCCTCTCAACCTCTGTTTTACACGTTGTGCCTTCCTGTCTCTGAGCTAGACCATGGCTTTCTACAATTCACTACACCAATTTAAGGACTGTCTTTTCAACTGTGTGTCATTTATCATTTAACTCGTACTTCAATAACTATAAACTTTAATTTTTTGTTTAGTTTTTGATCTTGCTCTTTTGAGACAGAATTTCATTCTGTAGCCCATGCTTGCCTTGAGCTGATTCTCCTGCATCAGCCTCCCAAATACTGGCTTAATAGCTGTGTACCACCAAGTCCTGTTAAGCTGCAGTTTCTAAAATTCTACTTAGCCTAGCCTGGGCTACATAATTAAATTCTACCTCAAAAAAAAACAGGTAAAAATTCCACTTGGTTATTTTAAAATCCATTTGCTCTTTTCCATGATTTCATGATACTACTAGATACTGGATGCAATTAGAGCACATTCAATGTAAGTACTGTAGACTTTCTTTACAATGCCCTGAACCTGAGGATTTTCTGGATACGACTTCTTTTATTGAGGATACCCAATAGATCTCTCTTGTGATGGTTTGATCCCAGCACTGGGGAAACAGATCTGCCTAGATCTCTGTCCAGACCAGCCAGGACTATATAGTCTAAAAACAAGAATGAAAGAAACATCTCTGTGAATGGCTTCTTCTTTTGTTTTTTGAGACAGGGTTTCTCCGTGTAGCCCTGGCTGTCCTAGAATTCACTCTATAGACCAGGCTGACCTCAAACTCAGAGACTGGCCTCTGCCTCCCAAATTCTGGGATTAAAAGCATGCACCATCATAGCCCAGCTGGCTTCCATTTCTATCTACCAAAACACTTATGGAATTTATGAGTTCCAGACTAATTGTGTGTGGGGGGTGGCATGTTGGGAAAATAAAAAGAAAGAATCAATGAGACAAGATGGTAGAAGATGTCAGTGTAAAGATGGATGAGATTAGATCATGAAAGACTTAGTATGGTTAGATCACATGTCATTTTGAGTGTGACTGGAAGCCACTCAATGATTTCATATTACTTATTTTTAAATTTTTGTGTGTGCACTATAGGCTGTATTACACTGTATGTGTGTGGTGTGTCTGTGTGTAGTGTAGTTGTCAGTGTGTGCAGGTGTGTTTGTGGGTGGTATGTGCAACTGTGTACAGTGGGCAGGGTTGTTTGGTGTCTTTCCTCAATTGATTGCTTTCTTTATTTTTTTTTTCAGAGACAAGTCTCCTTATTTAGCAAGATAGGCTGGCCAATGACCCCCAGGGATCTACCTATCTCCCCTCAGACCTAGTGTTATACAAGTGTGTCACCATGACTACCTTTTTAATGTGGGTTCTGGGGACGTGAACTCTGGTTCTCATGTGTTATATGGTATCACTTTATTGGTTGAGCCATCTCCCCAGCCCTGGCAGCCGCTAAATGGTTTCAAATGAGATACTGATATGATTTCATTTTCAAAGGAGTATTGTAGGCTATAAATGGGGAACAAAATGGAGTAATCAAGAGTGGGAGCCATACAACCAGTTAGGACAGTGTCACAGTAGGCCGGTAAAGAGATGGTGGTGAAAAAAAAGAGAGAGATGGTGGTGAAGAGGCAGGCGGATCTCTGTGAGTTTGAGGCCAGCCTGGTCTACAAGAGCAAGTTCCAGGACAGACTCCAAAGCTACACAGAGAAACCCTATCTTGAAAAACCAATAAAAAACAAAAAAACAAACAAAAAACAGAAAAAGAAAAGGAAAAGAGAGGGGGGTGGTGATGACTGTATGGAGTTGGTTTCCCAAATAGGAACATACCAAATTAACATATTCAGATTATTGCAATATGTCAAGTTTAGGTCAATAAAGCTCTTTTAAAAAAATCCAGATATGGTGGTATCCCAACACTCAAGAGACAGAAACATGAAGATCTTGCTTTCAGGTCTACATAGACTACACAGTGAGTTTAAGACCAACTATCCTGGCCAACCTGGCCTATTTGGTAAAACCCTGGCTCAAAATAGGACTGCTAAATTTTTTAGTTAGTCAAACTGCTTGAAACTACTTCTTTCCTGACAAGGAAAAAATAATCCTGATAGTGACTATGCAGTCTCAGTTTTTTCTGTAGATGTAATCCCCTCACCTGTGTGAATAAACAGCATTGTCACCATACTGACTCAGCTGCAATTGCAGGCACAAGCAGTTGAAGAAAATAGGAACCTACAGGCTCATCCTATCTTCTCTGTGTGACCCAAGTTCACTTGTCACTACTATATCACAGTCTAGAAAGGGAAGAGAAAGGTAAAGGTTCTTTCCTTTTTCTCATCCTCTTTTTTCCAGGAAAAACGTTGATTTCTGTTTGAGTTTTGATATGTGTCTGGATGTGTATATATGTTCATGTGTGTACATGTTGAAGTGTGTGTGTGTGTGCGCGTGTGTGTGAAATCAACATTAGGCATATTTTTCCACCTAATTTTCTTGTTTGTTTTGTTTTGTTTGTTTGTTTTGTGACAGGGTTTCTCTGTGTAACAGCTTTGACTGTCCTAGAACTCAGTTTGTAGACCAGGCTGTCCTTGAACTCACAGAGATCCACCTGCCACCGCCTCACTAGTGCTAGGACTAAAGGTGTGTGTCACCACCACCTGATTCCATTTAACTTTTTTTTTTTTTTTTTTTTTTTTGGTTTTTACGAGACAGGGTTTCTCTGTATTGTTTTGGAGGCTGTCGGTCCAGCCTGGCCTCAAACTCACAGAGATCCACCTGCCTCTGCCTCCTGAGTGCTGGGATTAAAGGTGTGCGTCACCACCACCCGACCTCCATTTAACTTTTTGAGACAGTGTTTCTCACTGAACTGGACGACACAGCTAGACAAGCTGGTCAGCAAATTCTAGGCAATCCCCTGTTTCTGCCTCCCAACACTGGGGTTAGAGATGCACACTGCTGCAAGCTTTTTACATGGGCTGTGGAGATTTGAACTCAGGTCCTCATGCTTGCACACCAAGACCTTTACCAACC